CTGGAGTATTTGATACCTTCATAGATGGTCAAGGTGGATGAGGGCAGATGTTGGGTTTTCTCTGTCATTTCCTTTTGAACCTAGTTTCCCTAGTTTCCTAGATTCCAGTGATTACTGGAATCACCTGGGGATCTGATAAAAATAGAGATCTAATAATAATAATTTTTAAAATATCAAGGGTTCATGAGGGAGGGGGGAACAGGGAGAGAGGGGGAAAATGAGCTGATACCAAGGGTTCAAGTAGAAAATGAATGTTTTGAGAACGATGATGGCAACAGATGTACAGATATGCTTGACCCAATGGGTGGATGGATGGATTGTGATGAGTTGTCCGAGCCCCCAATAAAAATGATTAAAAAAAAAAAAAGAGATCCTTGGGCTCCTTCCCCTCGAGATTCGTTAGGTTGCCAATAAACCTAGGGATCTGTATTTCACCAGATCCCCAGGTCATTGGGTGGGAACCTAGGCTTCACACTATATCTAGCTAGCACTTAGCTTTTTACCACCCTCTTGATCACTTCTCAACTGTCAGCCTCATTTCTTTGCTCCTCTTTGTTCTCCACTGTTTTTTTCTCTGCTGTGGCAGCTCCATTTCCTTGAGAGAAAGGTTGACCTTTCGTAGACATCAGCAGCCAATGACCCTGCCTCTCTATTTCGGGCCAGTGGGCTGGCCACAGAGAAGAATCGGACTCTCTCCGGCTGTTCCCAGCTGCTTTCCTCGTTATTCTCAGCTGTTCTCCCACACTAGAGCCCTGTCTTTCCTGCTTCTGGGCGTGGAGGGTTTCCAGAAGCACAAGGGCTTCACAAAGCTGATCTGTGAATTGCCTGGTGTATAGAAAGAAGTGGACAATGACATTTCAAGTCGTATTTTAGCACTAGAGCACTTCAGAGTATTAGGAAACTGTATTTTAGTAAGAATTTTCTACATTGTAGGCACTCTGTTGGCATAGTGGGATAACACGTGAGGCTGCTCAGTACAAAGTCAGCAGTTAAAACCACAAGTTTCTCTGGGAGAAAGACGGGCCGTTCTGCGCTGTGTAGTCCCACTGTGAATTGGAATCGATTCCATGGCAGGGACTTTGGTTTGGTCTCTGCGAAAGGTTTCTCCTGGCAGTTTAACCAGTTGAATATCATTCAAGTCGTCTGAGTAGTATCCCAGGGAAGCAAGCATCAACCCATATATGGAGCAAATATTCGGTCTGGCCATTTTGTGTGGAAGCTGCCCAGAGGCTCCATTTATCACAGCCGTGCCTCTCTCTCTGCAGGAGGCGGAATGTTCCAGGTCCTTTTGGCTATACATTGGGCTTGGTAGCATTATTTGAATTGCCTAGCATTATAGTCTGTGTGGACTTATTGCACCTTAAGTCTTAAGGCAGGCCTTAGAAGGTGAACCGCTACACGTTTCCCACTCTGTGTCATTCATCTTGGTGGTCTCTTGGAAGCAGCCGACACTGGGTCCGCCCACAGTTGCCAGGTGGATGACTGTGCATGTCATTCTTGAACTTCTTTTTGGACGTCAGCAAGTACCCAGGATGCTCGGAAGCACACCTTAGACACTGTCAGCTGTGGAACCAGCACCCTTGAATTGGAAGCATTGAAAGAACATAATCAGCGTTGAGGTGGAGTTCAAGGGACTGTTTTCTTCAAGGAAATTTACCGAGAATGATACCACTCTGTCACACTCTGCCACACTTGTGCACATTAAGAAAGCAAGCACTTTAAAGTTGAAAAACCAAAACACTTTGCTTTTACATGAAACAGGTACACCTTGGAGACTTTGTGGACTCTGGTTCAGAATAAAACAACCCTGTAAATAGCACAATAAAGCACGTTAGATGATTTTTTGGGTTTCTCAGTACATATAAAAGTTATGTTGATACTGTTGTCCATTAAGAATGTAATGACATTATGAAAAAGTTTGATATATTGTAAGAAACATAAAAATGTGACAGATAGGAAGTGAGCACATGCTGTTGAAGAAATGGTGCTAACAGACTTCCTTCCACAAAAGGTAGCCGTAGACCAGTGGTTCTCAACCTGTGGGTCGTGACCCCTTTGGGGTTTGAACGACCCTTTCACAGGGGTTGCCCCCTTCATAACAGTAGCAAAATGACAGTGATGAAGTAGCAACAAAAATAATTTTATGGTTGGGGGGTCACCAGAACATGAGGAACTGTATTAAAAGGTCGCAGCTTTAGCAAGGTTTAGAACCACTGCCGTAGACCTTCACATATCTGTGAAATGCCATAAATGTAGTTATACATACATATGTAATTCTTTGTTGTCCCAAGTCTCTTTGGTTACTACATATGGGCATATACTTTTATTTTTCTACAGCTATCATCACTTTTGCATAGCTATCAACACTACATGGTCGCATAGGGCTGCTCACCACAAGATCAGCAGTTCAAAACCACCAGCTGCTCTGCAAGAGAAAGATGAGGCTTTCTACTCCATTAAAAATTACACTCCCGAACAGTTTGGTACCTATGTATGTTTTGCCTCCAGAATTATTCTTTTCATGAACTGCTTTAAAAAAAAAAAGCCTAGTCATTCATCAAGTTGATACAAGTAGATTTTCTCGGTTATTAGACATAGGGTGCTTTCATTTTTTCCTTTGTAAATATATTGTATGATACCACACTGAACAGGTGTATAAGTGTGTGGGTGCATGTATATACCCTCATTTGTATGTTTTATTTAAATGTGATTTTGCTGAAAGCTTACAAAGCTGCGCCCATTCCCTTTTGGCAGTTTCCGCACAGATGGTTCAGTAGCGTGGTTACATCCGTCAGTGTGTGAACCTTCTCACGGGTCCCTTCATCTAGCTTTCCCTGCCGCCCGAGGTTTCCCTCTTTCTTTCAAAATGCTTGCTGACCCTATGGTCTCATTTAGGGGGTCTTTAAAGGGTACACGTTATTCATGGGCGGTGTTCATTGTTTGGTAAGCCAGTCTGTTCCCAGTTGCAAGGTGACTTCAGGGGTTAGTTTCGGCTCAGGGTTTGAAGAATGATCTCGGAGCAGTAGTCTCAGGGAGTCCATGTCTTCATAAGCTGTAGAGCCTGGGGACCTGGCCTGGAAGTAATCTTAGTTGTGTAAGTGCAAGGTATGATAATAGACTGACGGGGGTTGGGGTGGGTGGGTGAATGATGAGGTGTAGGAGTGTGTGTGTGTGTGTGTGTGTGTGTGTGAGAGAGAGAGAGAGAGAGAGAGAGAGACGTTCTGTTTATTTAAAAGGAGCTCTAGTCGTGCTGTAGGGTAAACCTTGGACTGCTAACGACAAAGTCGGCAGTTCTAAACCCCCACGAGAAAGATGAGGCTGTTTACTCCTGTAAAGATTTACAGACTGTCGGGTGGTGGGGGTTTACAGGCGTGGAAACCTTCGGTAGGTCATTGTGAGTCAAACTGGACTCAACGGAGGCGGGTTTATTGTTTTTTTAAAAAAATTTTCTCAATGTACACATTTTGTATTTCAGATGAATTTGCAACTGATTTTCTGGATTGGACTAAGCAGCTCAATTTGCTATGTGTTTGGCCAAACAGGTAAAAAAAGAAAGGAAAGCAAAGCAAAAATGTTACTCAAAGCTGTGTCCTCCTTTCAGTATCTTGTCTCATTCTTTGACCAGTTTATTTTAGGGGAAACCTCCGTTTTCAGATACTTGAACTCCTAATGAAAGCCCTGTGCTCGCCCCCGTCTCTGTCATGATAAAGCACGGGGTTCTCACAGTGGTCTACCAGGCCCTTCATGGCCAGGCTGCCCCGGCTCCTGCCACCCAGTCTCTCTCCTGACCCTTTATCCTCGCCTCTTCTGCCTCCTTGCTTTTGCTCAGCGATACTAGGCATCCTTTTGCTTCAGAGCCTTGGCCTTGGCTCTTGTTTCCGTGGTTTTCTCTCAGGGATCTATGTGCGTCTGTCCCTCCTTCAGCTCCCAGCTCCAATGTTAACTTCTCAGTGAGGCCTTCCCTGGCTGCGGATTTAGGATTGCATGACCCACCCACTCCCACCCAGCCCCCTTTCCCTGCTTTGTTTTTTCCCTTACCACTTATCTTTTACTAACAGGCCGATGTCTCATTTGTCTGTTTTATTTGTCTCCTCTACCAGACTGTAAGCTCCCTGAGGGTAGAGATTGTATTGGTTTTCATCACCGCTGTATCCTCAGTGCTTTGAATGATGTCTGGCACATCACTGTGCATTAAGTGAACGGCTAGACCTACCAGTGTTCTCCAACAGTGATGGTCACCCCTTGAAACGTGCCCCATCTTCCCATGGTGGGGAGTAGGTCTGGGTCTGCTTGTAACTAGGTTCATAACCTTTTACTTAATACTTACACACACAGAGACACACATATTGCGTTGTTTGTCATTTCAAACCCGATATTTCTCTATTTTCTCCCATGAAAATTCCAACAAAGTGATCTGTTCTTCCTTTCGTTATAGATGAAAACAGATGTTTAAAAGCAAATGCAAAATCTTGTGGAGAATGTATACAAGCAGGACCAAATTGTGGATGGTGTACAAATTCAGTAAGTACGATTGCTTACGTCCCTCCACTCAGTGTCTGATCGTTCATGTTGACACAGACTGTACAACGTGAGAGACTTTACAAAAATATTTCAGGAAAAAATATTGTTTAATATGTGGGCATACGTGGTCGTGTACAGGCTCTGACCATCAGGCATTGACACATTTATTACCTTCATTTTTCCATCTGTCATGTAGACATTTTTACAAGAAGGAATGCCAACCTCTGCCCGGTGCGATGACTTAGAAGCCTTGAGAAAGAAGGGTTGCCATCCTGATGACATCGAAAATCCCCGAGGCTCCAAAGCCATAAAGAAAAACAAAAATGTTACAAACCGGAGTAAAGGAACAGCCGAGACGCTGCAGCCAGAAGATATCACGCAGATCCAGCCACAGCAGTTAGTCTTGCAGTTGCGATCAGGTACAGCAGTGGACCTTTTCTGGGCCCTCCCTCCTGGCTTCATTGCTTTGGGGGTGGGGGGTCGGCTGGGGGTTGAGATCTGAGCTTCTGGTTGGCTGTCTCTTGTCTCCTATGCACACTGGCACTCGAAAACAGGAATAGGTTCCGTTTTAGAATGTTTAATACTTCTTTTTTGCAATTTGTGCCTTATCTATTTGAAATCATAGTAAATATTATTAAGTTAAAATTTAAATATTCCTAATATCAACCAGAGATCCAAAGAACAGTTCCTTAGATTTAGTGAATGTTGAAAATAACTTGGAAGTATCCATCCTCTGGTATGATCCCTGAATGTAAAATACAGACAGTAGTTTAATCCATTCTTCTGCCTTGGATTAGCTTAGTGTTGCTCAAATAGTGAGGCCTTTATAAATAAGTATCTGTGGCAATCTCTCATCTCGATCATGAGGGGGAAGAAAACCCTCTCTCAGTCTGCCCTCGGGAGTTTCCATCTCTTCTCTTTCTGAGGAACTGCCAGCGCCCCAGAAGAGTGGTGTGCACCCTCCTTCTTCCCGTCCTCATTCCCCATGTCTTCCTCAGCCAGTGCACACAGGTTTCACTCGTCTGACTCAGGGTTCTTTCCAGGGAGAGCCCCAGTGACGTGCTGAGATAAGGATGGGTACACAGATGCAGATCTGTCTGTATGTGAGGGACTTCGCTCAAGTGGTGGTGGTGGTGACAGGGGCAGCTAGGACCTGCAGACTCTAGTCAGACAACAGGCTGGAGATTTCTGCAGTCTCTGCCCCCAGATTCCGAAGGTGAGGGGATGGGAAAAATAAAGAGTAGAAGCATTCTGGCAATATGTCTTGTTTATAGTCTAGAGCAGGGGTCCTCAAACTGCGGCCCGCGGGCCACATGCGGCCCACCGAGGACATGTATCCGGCTGGTCAGGTGTATTTGCCCGTTTTGTTTTTTTACTTCAGTATAAGATATGTGCAGTGTGCATAGGAATTTGTTCATAGTTGTTTTTTTTTAACTATAGTCCGGCCCTTCAACGGTCTGAGGGACAGTGAACTGGCCCCCTGTTGAAGAAGTTTGAGGACCCCTGGAGGGGGAGAGTACATCCTGGGGACAGTCCCATTTTGCTTTTCAGGCCTTCAGCTGATTGGATCAGGCCTACCACCATTCCAGAGGCCAAGTGGTTAGGGCACAGGAAACTGTTTCATGGTGGAGTCTGGGCCAATGCTTGAACCAGCAGCCGGCCACCAAAACCTAACCAGTCAACATGTAAAAGTAACCATCGTGCTTCTACACCCGATCTGACAAAGCTGCACTCTCAGTGTGGGACCCCCAGTCTAGTAGACTAGTAGACCCTAACACTCACACCGCCATCCAGTCGTTGCTGACTCATGGCGACGCTGCAGAGCAGAGAACTCTCTGTGTTGCTTTGCCGGGCTGTGCGTCTTTACCGAAGCCATCTCTCTCCCATGGATGACCTGACCTGCCTCAGACCCTTAGTAAGGTCTTTGCCCGAACTCCCTGGTGACTCTGGACTTCTCCTGGCTTCCACGCTACCACTTTTAGTTCTTGCCTTCCTTTGCTTTTCAGGCTCCTTTATGTGTGTTTCGATTTCCCCCGTTTCCATAGTCTAGTTTTTCCTCATGACTCTAAAGAGTAAGCTGTGTGTCACTGACTCACAGATACCTGTCAGTCACCCAGACTTCTCTTCTAAGCCCCGAACCGGTTATCAGTCAGCCGCACACTAGAAGTCTCTGGAGAGACAAAACGTCCGGCTTGAAAGCTGCGTCATTTCCTGCTCTTGTGTTTTCTCGGTTATACTGCGTATCTCTCCTCTCCTTCCCCACTGTTTCCATTTCACACCTTCATCTTTCTCTTGAGTTTTTCCTATCGTTCCGTAACTGTTGCTGTAATTTTTTTCCAATTTTATTTTTGCCACTCTCCTAAAGTCAAAATATAAAATATGATCATGTCAATTTGTTTGCATATAATGCTTTTCATTACAGGGGAAATAGAGTTCTCACAACTTTAGCTGTCAAACCCAGGTATACCCTATATGTACTCTGCCTTGCCGGCCCCAGCCTATTTGTGCTGTGCAGTTTATTGGCTCTCCTCTGCCAGTGTTACATTAATGCCCCCCCATTTAGTGTGGCAACTGCTTGTTGAATTAAATTGAGTAGGTCAATTAGAGTTACGTTTGGAGTTTCCTGGGGGTTTTTTTTTGGTTGTTGCTGTTGATAAAAATACGACATTTAATACATCCCCACAGAAACAGACTGTGGGAACATTAGCAAACAAGAACTTCAGTTGTTTAAAATGATTTTTTAAAATTTGGTTTGTATCTGTGTTTACTGTGTAAATTCATCCTTTCTGTTTGAGTGTTGACAAGGTCCTTGTATTGTCTCATCTCCAGGAGAACCACAGACATTCACATTAAAATTCAAGCGAGCGGAAGACTATCCGATCGATCTCTACTACCTGATGGACCTCTCTTACTCCATGAAAGATGATTTGGAGAATGTGAAAAGTCTGGGGACAGATCTCATGAATGAGATGAAGAGGATTACTTCCGACTTCAGAATTGGTAGGACTGTTGGGGGCATGAATGCGTTGCATTTGTTTAAGGTTGACCGTTTCTCAAAACCTATTTTCTATTTTTGACCTGTGTTCTTCGCCACATACTTGTGCAGTAAATGGGCCAGGGTGTAGGTTTTTGTTTCCCGAGAGGAAGTTGACATTTCTATCCCACTGCTTGTAATCTTTCTGCCTCCTGGTCCGTTATTCCCTTTGTCGTATTATTTAATTGAGACAGTTTATATTGCGCAGGTAATGACGATGTGCCTGTTTTGTGGCCATCTTTAGCCGTATGTTGGTTGACTTTGTAAACGTGTGCTGAGCCTTCTGCGTTCAGGTTCTCACCCCGCCGATGTGACTCCACCCCGCGTGTCTAGCCTGCGCACCGTCTGGCCTGGAGCTTCTGGTTTACTATGACCTCCTTTTCCGACCCTCGTTTCTATATTTCCTACAGCTCTGACTTGATCAGTTTTCTAACTTATTTTTTCGACTTCTGAGCCAGGAGAGATTGAACAAGAGAATATTGGGAGCATGTGTCTTCTTGATGACCCAAGATTTCCTTTCGAAAATAAAGTCTGTTCTGTGGGAACATTAGCAAATAAGAACTTCAGTTGTTTAAAATGATTTTTTTTTTAATGATCTTTGTTCAAAAAACATGTTAGGCACAATTGTTTAAAAAATTTTATTCCAAAAACACAATTTAAACAAGAGCATGAGGCTCTTTTTATGTTAGTCCTTTCTGAAGTGGTCAGAATTCCAGAATATACACTCATTTGTTCATTGTTCCATCTCTCCATGCATTCATTCATGCCTGCATTCCACAGGCAATTGTGGAGATCTGCTATGCTAGGGAAGGCTATGTGAAAGGGTGAAAGTGGATAGAAAGAGTAAATAATATCAATATGTGCGCTTTTCCTTCACAGGGTTTGGCTCCTTTGTGGAGAAAACTGTGATGCCTTACATCAGTACCACACCAGCTAAACTCCGGAATCCTTGCACAAGTGAACAGAATTGCACCAGCCCCTTTAGCTACAAAAATGTGCTTAATCTAACTGACCGAGGGGAAGTTTTTAATGAACTTGTTGGCAAACAGCGCATATCTGGAAACTTGGATTCCCCTGAAGGGGGCTTTGATGCAATCATGCAGGTCGCTGTGTGTGGAGTAAGTACCTTCCTTTCCGACAAGGTGGCATTGCTTGTGTGAATCTTAAGAAGTGTCATTTTACTGCCATTGGGGAAAAGGCACCACGGGGCTTTCGTTGGCTGATTCTGAGAAGTAGATTGCTAGTCCTTTCTTCATGGTCCATCTCAGTGGGGGACCTGCCCGAAACCTGTCGGCAGCATGGCAACACCTTAGCGAGCTCTTGAAGGCAGGGGTTGAGCATGACATGCATCAGGTGGGGCTTCTGCATGGAAGGGGAACATTCAACCACCAAGCCACCGCTTTGGGTCAGTGTCATTGTTCATAGTGTTTCCTGAGCCCGGGGCCAACCACACAGCGGCCAATAATATCAAGCAACAAAAGAGAAGAAAAAAAACTTTAGTTATCATATCCTACTAGGATTATGTCAGAGATGTGCATGTTTTCAGCCTTTAAATTTCCAATAACTACAGGGGCTTCATAGGAGCCTGTTTAATCTCATCATTATGTCCCTATCAAAACCTAGTCATTTAAGTCGTTGGCATGGGGTTTTAAAAGCCAGACTGGGCATCATTTGAAATAGTGGGGCAACGCGGTGGCCTCCTTTCTGGCTTTGTACCAGAAATGGGAGTCTAAGGTTTGAAATAATCACCAGAAACTGGAAATTGCTCAATTCTGTTTTCTTCCAGCCATTTTTGTCTGCTCAGAATCCTCTTTAATAGGGGGATAACACTTTGCCTTGTGTCTTAGTAATCCAGAATGGAGGAACCTTGAAACCCTAGCTTGTAGGCAATATGAAAACATGCATTTTGAAAGTCACGTGCTTATCCTTCTAATGGCACCTTCTCCAGTAGTAGCCAGCAGGGCTCTACTGGACCAGCAGGGAGCGTTTTATGATGACCATTTTATTTACCAGTTGGGTTTCTTGAGTTGATTCTTTCAAGACTAACAGAACAATGAGAAGTTGATAAACTTTTCTTATCTTACCTTATAACTGTCTCATTCTCCCCCTCTCCTCTTTCCCCCTTAAAAGATGCTCCTTGACTCCACTTGCTTCTTAAGAAGTGTTAACTACTTTTTGCCAAGATGCTGCTTGATATCCAGGATAATCTGTGAATCAGTGGGAGTAGTGGTTAAGTGAACAGTCTCCAGACTGTTCAGATGTGGATTCAGATCCTCTCACTGCCACCAAGTCCGTTCTGACTCATACCAACCTGGGATAGAAGAAATGTAAGCTTAGTCTCTGCTTTTAAAGCCGAAGAAACAGTGGTTTCCAAGGAATGCCAACCTCTACACTTTTCCCCCCGTTCATTTTAGTGAGTCTTTGTGATTCTTTTCACAGCTCACTAAGGAGACTGGCTCACGGACTCAGCTTTGGGGCACCCATTACCATGCTTCCCCTCTGTTTGCTCTGTTAACAGAGTGATTCTGACCCTGCCCCTCTAAATGCAGAACAGATAGGCTGTGCACTTTTGAAAAGTAATAAACCCCCTTCCTATCTTCAAGGAATTTATAGTCATGTGAAGATAAAGACAGGTCTATTGGGAGGTTTAGACAATATGTGTCATCCACAGTTGTTAGATAGGACAGCTCACCAGGGATTTTGCAGGTGCTTAAATTCTCTGTAGAATCAAGGAGATATTAAAATGAATGAATGAACGAATAAACCATATGGATGAGTTACAATAGGTAGGATCAAGCAGGGCAAGTTCTGGAGGAAATAACTTTTCTCTAATTAAAAACAGAAGGTTTAAATTGAGAGATTTATGGCAGAGAAGTTGAGCAAGGGTGGGTGAAAGGAAGGGAACCGGGGAGTGGGGAGCAAGGCAGCAGCTGTAGGGTGAGGTCTGGGCTGGGACACTTTACTCAGCAAATACTTACTGCACTTACATGTGCCAGGTGCTGAGGTCGGTGCACTGATGAGCAAAACACAGGCGTGGCTCCTGCATCAGATTCTCATAGGAGAGATAACACATTGATTTTTGAAAGGTAGAGTGTTTATGTATATGTATATGTATATGTATATATATATATATATATTTAATGGACGAAGAAGCTCAAGCTGTCATTCATTGAGTTGATTTCAACTCCTGGCAACCCTATAGCACAGGGTCGATCTGCCCTGTGGCTTGTGAGACTGCCGCTCTATAGAAAGAGGAGGCCTCATCCTTTGCCTGCAGAGCCTCTGGTGGTTTCGAACCACAGCCCATTCGTTGTGTAACCCACTCTGCCACCAGGGCGCCTGAGGATAAAGAAAACCACCATTTATTTCAGTCTCTGCCAGCACCACCTCCCACCCCGGCCCAAGTTCCAATCCTTTTGCGGTCACAGGGGAAGAGGTTAAGGTTCGATAATTTCTGGTTCTGAGGTGAATTTGAGTCTCAGCTCGCATCAAAGGTGGTTCAGAGAGAGAAGCAAACACATGAACAAAGGAGAGGGTTTCAAACAATGCCTTCATGTCGCGATCTCTTTGTAGGATAGAAGTTTAGATGGCTTTTTAAAATTGATTGGAAATCGGGAGTAACTAAGTACCCTTCACTATCATGCTTAGCAACAAGTCCCCAGAAAGGCAGCTGCTTTCTCTAAGTCTGTTGTGCCCCGCTTCCTTGTGCTCAGCCAGCAAGTCTTCCATGGCGGAGATCAGCTGGCCAGGGACCAGTTGTGCGATTTTATCAACAGGGTCATTAGCACAATGAGAAGAGAAGATAAAGTGGGAGCCTACAGGACTGAGTTGAAAGTGCGATTTATGTTGCCTTACCGTGATGGGTGTTCTAAGGTGGAAATCTTTTTCTTCTCAAGTCATTGATTGGCTGGAGGAACGTCACACGGCTGCTGGTGTTCTCCACGGATGCCGGCTTTCACTTCGCTGGTGATGGGAAACTTGGTGGCATCGTTTTACCCAACGATGGACGGTGCCACCTGGAGAACAATGTGTACACAATGAGCCATTATTACGTAAGTGCTTCATTCCTGTGCTCACTGCATGAGCTTGCGGTGCGTTTTAGAGTCATGTGAGGCTGCCTTGTGGGTTTCTCAGGGTTTGGGGTTTTGTTGTTTTGGTAACTGTGTGGCTCTAACCCAGCATGCAGGAAAGCGAGTTAGCACAGCTGGTTTATAGCTGTGGCTTTGCGTCTACTTCCTTCCACTGAGACGGGCCTCACTGGGGAAAGACCTGCCTCCGGCAGCACGTTTGCCATGGGCCTCAGCCACGGGCTTGGTCCCCTCGCTCACACACACCCTTTGGCAGAAGAGTTGGTATTTCTAAACAAATCAATCTTCTGGCCTTACGATCGTTATTTTACATGACCTGTAAGACACTGCCTTCACTCAACTTAAAGACGGGCAAATTACCCAGTCCTAAGAGAAAACCTGTCCTCAGCGAGCCTTGTTCTGTTTAATAATTTATAGATAATGCAGCTTTGTATGACAATGAGTCATTAACTTCACTGTTCTTAAGCTTACTATATAAAGTCATTTTATGTTTAAAAATTTTTTATTGTGGAGATTTTCTTACAAAATTACAGAGAAGATAATAACAAGCACAAGAGTACACAGGACTCACTTAAGTTACTTACATTTGATACTCTTATTTCAAAGTGGTCTTGTACAAGACCACCCCCCCCCCCGAAAAAAAAACACATTGAAAATAAATTGAAAGATGTAGTTACTTACTATATTTAATTTCTTAGGATTATCCTTCTATTGCTCACCTTGTCCAGAAACTGAGTGAAAATAACATTCAGACAATTTTTGCTGTGACTGAAGAATTTCAACCCGTTTACAAGGTTAGTAAATTCATGTGAGTTAAAACGAGAGCAACATATATCTACACCTCTCCCTGTTTAGTTAATAGGCTTGAAATCATGTTTGAATTGAAAGGTGGCACAATGCTACCAAGTAGACAGACTGAACTTTATAAAAGTGGTTAAGGTGACGTTTTTTCTTCTAGATTTATTTTGTCCTTGTTAATATATGCAGCAAAACATACACCATTACTTCAATCTCTGTGTATACTCTATTTTTTCCCCTTTGTGTACTCTTTGAAGACATTGAGTATATTCTTAATGCCGTACAATCATCCTTACCCTCCTTTCCTGATCTCTTTCTTCATTAACACAAACTCAGTGCCGCAGATCTAGTCTATTTTAGACACCGTTGTCAGTTTGACCTCAAATAGCAGTCAGAAGTCACATAATGCTCAAAGGCACACCTTTTTTATTATTTAAGCTAAATTATTGTTTGACTCTAAAATGGCTTCAGAGGGTATGGTATTTTTGGCTTATGGTGTAAAGATTTTCTCAAGACAGTGGTTCGTTCAACCTCCATGGCTCCAGATCGCCTGGCGTCTGTGAGACCTTGAAACTCTGGTCTGTATTCTCTCCCTCTGGATCAGGATTCTTTTTAGCATCTTAGATCAGAATGTGCTGTGATGGTCGCGAGGCACTGTCAGTTTTTCTGGTCTCATGGCAAAAGAGACAGGTCTTCACGGAGGTGCTCAGTCATAGGGCCCTATCCTTCTCCTGTCCTCACTCTTCCTGCTTCCTTTGTGGTTTCCACGTGAGTAGAGACCACTTATGGTGCCTTAAACGGCCACTTGGAAGACCCCAGGCACCATGCAATGAACTAGAGGTGGAACAGAAGCCCTAAACCTGATATTGGGCCAATCATCTGGGATGTCCCATCAAACCATGGCCCTAACCCTCCCAAAGGAGGCTTGGTGGGTGTAGTGAATTCCGTGTGGGGCTGGTAATCGCACGGTCAGTAGTTTGGAACCCACCTGCTGCTCTGTGGGAGAAAAATGAGACTTTCTGTTCCTTATAAAGATTGACAGACTCAAAAATCTCCAGGGAAAGTTCTGCCCTGTCCTGCAGGGCTGCACTGAGTCAGAACTGCTTCCAGAGCAGTGAGTGGAGTGGAGAAATCTCCAAACCAAGCCATCAAATCCCATGAGATCTCTGGTTATACGTAAACAACTGCAGTGAGGTTATTTTTTTTGGTTGGGGTGGTGGTGGGGCATTGATGAAAATATACCTATTACACAATTTTTACCAGTTCACCTTTTTAGATACCAAATGATTGATAGCCGTTATAATACTCAGCTGTGTGGCTCTTTCCTTAAGTAATGTCATTTTCCCATCACCATTCGCCCTGTTTTCCTCTTTCTTCTCACTCCTTAGTGACCAGTCATGGACTTTGGTCTCTGGATTTGCCCTTTCTTCTATTTTTATCAAAGTCACTCAGACGGTGATTTGATTCCAAGTCGTAGCCGCCCTATAAGACGGAGTAGAGATGCTTCATCGGGTTTGCACGGCTGTAAGTCTTTAGGGCAGCACAGCTGTCTCATTGTGCGGCCTCGAAGTTCCAACCGAAGATCATTAGTCAGCACATAGCTATCCACTTATTTGGCCTCCTGCCCCTTCTCAGGAAACAAACAAACAAACCCAGCACCCCCTTGGAAATGAATAACTTTTGTACTACAGGCTGTCATTCACGATAAAGTGTAGGCATCTCTTTTGCACCCCCACCCCCCAATATTACTGTAGTACTCCCCAGCGGGAGATATCACCCATTTTGTTAGCAGCTCACTGCTTAGTCCGCTGCTCCCTCCCTTTAACATACGATTAAATGAGGGCAGACCGATATCTGTCCTTTTGTGGTTGACTTATTTCACTCTCTGTGCCCTCAGGTGCCATCTAAACTGTAGGGTATATTAAGATTGCATTTCTCATATTTGGCTGAGCAGTATTCCTTTTTATGTATGGGTGGAATTTTGTTTGCCCGTTCATTTGTTAATGTGCACTTAGCTTATTTGCACCTTTCAGAATGTTGCACTGAATATTTGTGTCCACGCCTCTTTCTGAGTCTCGGCTGTCAAATCTTTCTGGATCAACCGAGAAGAGGGATTACTGGGTCAGTTTTAGGTTTCTGAGGGACCACACAGTTTTGTACGACAGCTTTACCATTTTCCATTCCCACCAGCAAGAGGTAAAGGTTCCTATTTTCCCGTATCTTTACCAACATTCATTACTCTCCTTTTTTCTTTTTTCACTACTCTTGTGGCAGTGAAATGGTATCTTACTGTGGCTTTGATTTGCATCTCTCTGATGGGTAATGATGCTGAACTCCTTTTCATGGCCATTTGAATGCTCTCTTGTTTGTCATTAAAATTTTTATATAGGAGGGTAACAAGAAAATATTGCTAAAAAAATCATAATACATCAAAATGTATTGAAGCTGCTGTTTTCAACATATCATATGTCTAGGTGAATACATTTCTGCCGGTGGTCTTCCCTTCAACCCAGATCCCCAAAGAATTCTGTGCCCTTCTCTTTAAACGATGTCAATATGACCGTTTTGACATCCTCAAGAGGCACAAGTTGAGTTCCTTTTTCAGTCTTCAGGCTTAAAGGGAAGTCTGGAGGCACGAGATCTGGGCTGGAGGAGGAGTGGGGTAAGGTTCCCCACAAAAGTCTCTCGGAGCAGCCCTGGTAACCCTTGAAGAACAAGCAGTTGCACTGCCATACTGGGGAAACAAATTCCTTGGGACATTCTTCCTGGTTTTCTGTTTTCTTAAAGCTTCTTCATCATAAGTCTCCAGGATCATCCTGTAGCCTTCTAGAAAACCTTTCACACCCCTGGCGTTCCCAAACAGTCTCCATAGCTTTTGGAGTTGTCTGAGCAGATCCCCTCGTAAACTTCAGTGTTGATCCCTTGAACCTTTCTTTTTGAAGGCACCCAGTGAGAACCTTAAAAAACAAACAAACAAAACCTCACTGCTGCTGTGTTGATGCCGGGGCAGAACAGCGTCGAGTTTCCGATACCATAATTCTTTATGGAAGTAGAGCGTCTCTTTCTTCTGAGAGCGGCTGGTGGTTTCAAACTGCTGACCGTGTGGATTGAAGCCACTGCCTCACCAGGGCTCCGTGTAATGAAAGCCCAAGACAAGTCTGTCGCTGAGAGAACTTGTCTGCTGCTGACCAGTGATCACAGAGTGTGTTTCGTTGGGCTTAATCCATGCATTTAGCTGAGAGGCTCTTCGTTTCCCCTTGAATGGAGTTAGCTACCTTGTCAAAATCACTTTGTTGCCGATGTGTGAGTTTATTTCTGGACCTACAGTTGATCCCAGCTAGCGGATGTCTAGTGCTAGACCAGTACCAGAATGCTGTCATGACTGTGGCTGCATATCTAAAACAAGGAAGTGTTCGTCTTCCACACGGTGTCTTTCAGCATTGCTTCAGTTATTCAGATCTTGCCATTCCATACACAATTGAAGATTGGTCTTTCTATTTTTATAAAAAGTCTTAGAATCTTCATTGGTATTTATTTGAATATGTAGATCACTTTGGGTAGTATTGGTAGATGAACATTCTTCTGTCTTCCAATCCATGAACAAATTATATCTTTCCATTTATTTAAATTTTCTCCAATTTCTTTCAACAGTGTCTTATTGTTTTCATTGTATAAGTCCTCCATGCCACTGGTTAGTCTTATTTCGAGATATTTTGAGCTCTTAGATACTATCATAAGTAAAGTTGATTTTTAAGTTCAGATATCTCATTACCGGTGTGTAGAAAACCAGTTAGTTTTGTTTATTGATAGTATACTTTGCAACTTTGCTGAATTCCTCAATTAGCTGTAGACGTTTTCTGGAGAATTCTTGGGATTTCCTGTATATAGGATTGTATCTTCTACAAAGAGAGATTAGTTAACTTCCTCCATTTCTCATCTGGATCCCTTTTCTTTCTCTTTGTTGTCTGATTACGATGGCTCTGACTTCTAATAGACGTGGGAAGAGTGGGCACGCTGCCCTGTTTCCCTGTGTAAAGGAGGAGCTCTCGGTCTTTCTCTATTAATGTAATGGTGGCTCTTAGCGTTTCATTTTTGTCCAGGACCATACTGAGAAGTTTCCCTTTTAGCTCACTCTTTTTTAGGGCTTTCAATTTGAGTTTTATCAAATGAGCCTTCTGCCTCCATAGATAGGGTCTTGAGGTAATGTGGTTGGTTTTCTAATGTTGAACTGTCCCTTCATTCTTGGAGTAAAGACCACTTGCTTATGCTTTTGGGACTTTTAATACGCTGTTGAATTCTGTTCACTAGTATTTTATTGAGGATTTTTACATCTATATTGATATGAGATTTGGGTCTATAGTTTTCTTGTGATGTCTGACAGTTTTATGATATCCAGATTATTTGCTTCATAGAACGAATTAAGGAGTATTCGGTCCTCTTTCAGAAGCATTTACCGTATATACTCAAGTATAAGCCGACCCGAATATCAGCTGAGGCACCTAATTTTACCACAAATCCTGCATTTTAAATGTGCTGAAAAACTCGGCTTCTACACAAGTATATACAGTAATCAGTGGTTTTTGGGGTGTCAGTTCAACTCCAAATGTTTAATTCTTCTCAAGTGTTTGGTAGAATTCCCCAGTAAAGGCATCTGGTCCAGAACTTTTTCTCTGTTGGGAGTTGTCTACTGTAGGGGTCTGTTGAGACTTTCTATTTTCTTTTGAGTCAGTTTGGGGGGGGCTGTATGGCTCTAAGAACTTGTCTACCTCTTCTAGTGTACCTCGTTTGTTGCCACACAGATGTTCACAATACTCTATCATAGCTCCCTCTGATGAGTCAATTCTAATGTCCCCTCTTTCCTATCTTATTTTGTTTATTTGCATCCTTCCTTTTTTTTAATTGTGGCTAAAGATTAAATTAATGTTAATTTTTTTAATTCCATATTTTAAAACATTTTTTTGAGTCTGGTTGTTCAGGAATACATAGGAACTAATATTTAAGAATAAATATGGGTGATCAGTAGATACTAATAGATGGAGTGATGAGTGCGTGGATATTTTCATTTTACATGTGTGATCTTTATATTTTAGGAATTGAAAAATTTGATTCCCAAGTCAGCAGTGGGAACATTATCTGGGAATTCCAGCAATGTAATTCAGTTGATCATTGATGCATACAATGTGAGTACATTTTTAATTGAAATCAGTTTGGGATAATATCTTGTTGAAACTACATGGTCCTGAAAAAGCTAAACTCTTTCTATGTATAGTTCAATACAATTTTCATGTACCGTAGGAAAACTTAACAGTCTTAAGAAAGCATCATTTTTTGCATAACCTTAACAAAGCAAATATATGATAAAGATGTTTGAGGAAAATTTCTAAATATTTGTTTTTGTGTTTGAAAATGATAGATTTCCTTGTAAAGCCTATGTGAAATATCATTAATATTTATATAAATTTATTTAGTGTTTTTTCCTCCCTGGTATATCCTTTAGAGACCTGTTTATTTAGATGAATTTTACTAAGAAAGCTTTTTGAAAAAACTTCTGCCAATTCTCATGCAGAGATAGAATTCTCAGTTTGAAAAAGATGTAAGAGTTATATGTACACACACTCATAGATACAGACATCAAAGGGGGGCAGAAAGTCCCTGCCAGATGCAGAAGTTGAGCTGGAATTAAAGAATTGTATCTTCTTCTGGCACTTTTAAAGAGTGCCTTTTAATGATACCCACTAAGCCTTGATTAATGCTCATTTTAAGTATTCTGAAGGTATTTTTTAATATTGTGGTAGTCATTAATTACTGCCTGTAGCACCTCTGTCACCTGAAAGACTGGCAGGCTGACTTTTTCATCCCTTGCATTGGGATTAAAATGTATCAGAATGGCCGGACACAGAGAGACAGACAGAGATATCTATACAGAATTTTAAGATTATAGTTGCCCTATGTCTTCCCATAGTTTTTCTCCTTGTCATCAGACTATATTATCCTTTTAGGGATATGAAGGTAAGATAAAGTGTTACTGTATTCCTCTTTTGTCCTGAGAGATTTGGTATTCCACATATGCACTTTGACCTAATTCCTTCTTAACATCCATTTGCTGTCAAGTGGATTCTGACTCCTGGTGACCGTGTGTGTCTGCGCACACGTGCACACTGAGCTGTGCTGTGGAGGGCAGTTTGCCATGGCTCTTTTTGGGGGGGAATTAGATCACCTTCTGAGGCTTTTCTGGATGGACTTTATCCTCTAACCTTTTGATTCATCCTTTCAAACCAAATTATTTTCTGCTTTATATTTTTTCTTGAAATAATTTATTTCCATAATGGAAGGCATTCCAAATAAACTTTTAAAAAACTTGCTTAGTTATATGGATTTTGATCCATGTATGTGGATCCATAGATCCATCCACGGGGCACTGTATTGTAAGTGTCTCCTCGCTGGTCTCTGGTGCTGAGGCTGGTGAAATGTGTCCCATTTCTTCAGATGCATGCAATTCTGCAGACTCCCAGCAGATGGCAAATCAAACTCCAAACTCACTGCCATCAAATTGATTCCAACTCAGAGTGACCCTACGCGACAGGGTAGAACTGCCCCTGTGGGTTTCCGAGGCTGTAAATGGGAGCAGAAAGCCTCGTCTTTCTTCCATAGAGAGGCTGGTGAGTTTGAACGTCTGACTTTGTGGGTAGCACCTCAGTGAGTAACCCACTGTAACACCAGGGCCACAGATGACAGCAGGCACTAAACGTGGAGTTGCCGCTTCCTCTTAAGCCCCAGAAGCCCAACACAGTATGACGGTTATCAGCCTAGGTCACAACAGGGTTATCAGCCAAATGGGTCAGCCTTTGCTCCGTTTGATGTAGGCTGTTCGTAACATCAAACCTTTCCTTTCTGCTGGGTGGTTTTTGTTTGGGGACCAGGACTGGGTGGCTTCGGGGCAGATGTTTTCCCCAGATGTGTAAGAGATCACTTGTCCTGGTTCGTAATGGACCGGGGGTGGTGGGACCGAGGGCAGCCGTATTACCGACCAGGGAAACGAACAGCTTTCTTCCGGATTCTTAGTACTTCTCAGAATAGTAGGCCCACGCATTATATGACCAGTAACATTTAACTCGGTAATTAAAATAGAAATGTTCCTTTTCTATTGTAAACATTGTTTTAAAGATTCCATCTTTATTAATTAAAGCATGAGGGGGGATTTTTTGGTTCTGTGTTTTGGGTTTGGATTGAAAATAGCTTATTTAGGTAATTTTTTTCCCTAAACAGTTCCTTTTACCCCTTGACTTTATGCTACCAACTTAGCTTACAGTCGTGTTGAGCTTGGTGCGCCAAAGTGTAAGGAGTCTGTCTTTTAGTCCCTTTCCTCAGAAGTCATTTTGGAAAACAGCAAATTGCCGGACGGAGTAACGATCAATTATAAATCTTACTGCAAAAACGGGGTGAATGGCACTGGGGAAAATGGAAGAAAATGCTCCAATATTTCCATTGGAGATGAGGTATGTTATGTAAATATTTTCTGAAGTAAAGAGAAAAAATGCTGCCCAATAAGCCCTTCAGTTCATATTCGGAAGACCATTTAATATGTGTGTGTGTGTGTGTGTATACTTTTTTAGAAGATTTAAACTCATTAGTTTACTCTTACTGAATCTGTTCTTTTTTCCCCTAAGGTTCAATTTGAAATTAGCATAACTTCAAATAAATGTCCAAATAAGAATTCTGAAACTATTAAAATCAAGCCTCTGGGCTTCACCGAAGAAGTCGAGATTATTCTTCAGTTCATCTGTGAGTGTGAATGCCAGAGTGAAGGCATCCCCGGGAGTCCAAAGTGTCATGAGGGAAATGGGACTTTTGAGTGTGGAGCCTGCAGGTGAGCTTGATGGAGGCAGACAGGTGGGAAGACTGTCGGCTGGGCACGCTGTGGGCCCGCTGCACTTGGGCGCATCTGGGGAACATCTCTATTCGGAGCACACACGCTAGTTCCAGGGATCATCCCTCTGATGATCCTGTATGTGATCTGGACGGAAAGACCTTCCGTTCCTTTTTCTCCTGTGGGAGACTGTCTGTATTCTAAAGGTGAAAGTTTGGTAGGCATGCACGAAGGATGGTTAACAAACCATTAAAGGTAATGTTCGCATTGCTCTCCTTGTCATGCAGTCTGAATTCTGTAGAGCTAAGTGTAGATGAAGTATGCTTATAGAAAATGTTTTGGAAAAGCCTACATCAAACCGAGAATGGAAATTTTAACTAGAAAATTCAATGGGGAGCATGCAAGCCTGTTGACCTTGTCCTTGATGTATTTCTGTGTTTGAACAGCATTAAAACAATGGCAGGCTAAGTCGGCAAGTATCACAGATAGGGTTCTAATTCATCTATGCGTTGGTTTCTTCAAAACAACACGTGCTCAGACGTGCTTCTGCCGCCAGTGGAGGGCTGCAAACCAGTTTTCTCGCTTGTCTTTGGGTCTTGCCTTCAAGGTAAAGGTTCAGTCAGAACCGTGGCTTCTGAGGGATTCCGCTGGGTCATGTGGACCAAGACACACAGAAGAAATCGTTATTTTTTTCTTAGGCTCATGCATGTATTGCGCGTAACTGCGGCTGCTGTGTGTGTGTGTGTACATCTTTGTCCCTGTCTGTGACTTGGGTGGCGTGGATGTAATCTGTGTACAGCTCAAAGAGATTGTCCATAAAGAGTGTTCCTCTCCCAGGTTTTCTGACTGACTTTCTTTTTTAGAAAAATAATTTTCGTTTCATGGCATGCTTCTTCAGGTGCAACGAGGGCCGTGTCGGCAGACATTGTGAATGTAGCACAGATGAAGTGAACAGTGAAGATATGGATGCTTACTGCCGGAAAGAGAACAGCTCAGAGACCTGCAGCAACAATGGAGAATGTGTCTGTGGACAGTGCGTGTGTAGGAAGAGGGATAATACAAATGAAATTTATTCTGGCAAATTCTGCGAATGTGATAATTTCAACTGTGATAGATCCAATGGCTTGATTTGCGGAGGTGAGAAAGAATCTGAAGATGCTTTTAAATATATCATCCTATCTAATATTAAAAAAAAAATGTTTAAAGTGCCCTTGATGGAGCCTTAAAGAAAAGGGGAGGACAGCGTTGTAGGTCCATCATCCCTTGGATAAGTGCTATGTCACCGCTTATGTTTACTTTGAAATCACTCTCCATGATTTCCTGTTCCTGCCACTGTTATGAGGAATGACACTTTCAATTGCAGGAAATGGTGTTTGCAAGTGCCGCGTGTGTGTGTGCAACCCCAACTACACTGGCAGTGCGTGTGACTGTTCTTTGGACACCTCTTCGTGCATGGCCACAAATGGACAGATCTGTAATGGACGAGGGAACTGTGAGTGTGGAGCCTGTAAATGTACAGACCCCAAGTTCCAGGGGCCAACCTGTGAGATGTGTCAGACCTGCCTGGGCGTCTGTGCCGAACACAAGTAAGTATTGCTGAAGTTTCAAACTAATGTACCATCGGCTCTCCAAAACCAGAACAGTGCCAGTGTTAGGTTACCCTAACTAAAATATCTGCCCCTCTGAAATCCACTCTTTAATTTGTAGAATTTTCTAGTTTATAGCTAGTGTGAATTGTATTATGACATGAAAATATGTCACGGGAGAGTTATTAACAGTATTTTGTCCTGCGTTGGTTCTGTAATTGAATTCATACTGTAACTTTGGTTAAACTGCCAATACCAATTGGCTGATTACTATCTTTTGACCCTAAACAAAATTTGAGTTTGTTTTTTTTTACCTTGAGGGGGATTGTTTTTGTATAGTCCGGTGCTGTTCTAATTATTTTTATTTTATTATGTATTTACTATCTGATAGGGCTAGTTTTAATTTACTAATTGTGTTTAAAAGAATATTCTTTATTGCGGTTTTCATGTAAATTACAATGAATCTTTAACTTCATTTGGAGACCCACCATCTCGATACTTGGTTTTCTCATCCGGATGTTTAATAGACCTCCCCAGTTTATTCTGACGAGATCTCGCTTGTTCGGGGTGGTATGGCTGTAGACGCTCTAGTTTATTCTAATTGTCTCCATTCACAATTTTCTAACTCTGGGTTCAGCTTGGTCATCTGGGTCTATCACATGAACTAATCTTTAAGCAAATATTTCTTTAAAAATATTATGAACCCCAAGTCCGTTTTAAATGCAACTGGTGTGTGTTTTACCAGAGAGTGTGTCCAGTGCAGAGCCTTCAATAAGGGAGAAAAGAAAGACACCTGTGCACAGGAGTGCTCCCATTTCAACATCACCAAGGTCGAGAGTCGGGACAAACTGCCGCAGCCAGGCCAGGTGGACCCGCTGTCTCACTGCAAGGAGAAGGACGTAGATGACTGCTGGTTCTATTTCACGTACTCCGTGAACGGGAACAACGAGGCCATCGTTCACGTTGTGGAGACTCCAGGTAGAAACCTGCTGCTTTCAGACTTGCTCCTCGTTCCCTCGCGCGGCTTCTTTCCACGTACCATGCCCACGGGAGGTGGCTGCATAGCCAGAAAGAGCCTCTGAATTAATCTTGGGAAGATTCCATCTCCCAAAGCTGTAACATAGAAGTAATCCAACAATATAATAAATAAGGAACAAAGAAAATCTGTTTTAAATGTGAGGAATGAGAGGCCATAAAAAGCACTTAACGGTTTTATTATGATTGGTTTTATTAACATTTGAGCTTGATTTTAACTCCGGTATTGAGAAAGCCATTCCATAAAGATGTTTTTCAATGCACTGAATTTGATTGATGATTTTCTCCATTTGTATGTTGGTGTTCAGGTAAGCATAGGTCTTCCTTCCTGGTAAATACTAAGAATAGGTTTTGGAGGTATATGTTAGCTAAGAAACAATCACACTGATTTTTAATATCTCTGTTCTGTTTTACATTATCAGGTACATGTTATACCAGTATTATCTTTCACACTGTGATTCCTTTTTTCATTTTTTAAATAGTATCTTTAAAGTTCTACCTTTGATGGAGTCCAGTTTACCCAAGTTTTTTGTTCACAGATCTTGCTTTCTAGTAGTGTAGGGAGGAAACGTTTGTCTAAGCAAATCACAAGAATTTGCCTCATGTGTTTGATAGTTTGAGTTCTGGTTTTACATTTACTTCCATACTTCCCTGTGAGCTAATCTTTGTAGGAAGGAGCTTCAAACGTTTACAGAAAAATGGAATGAAAAGATAATGGAATTTTCCCATGAACTTTTTGAGCTCTTCTTTTTTTTTTCTCTTGCCCAGTTGTCTGTCCTTTGGCACTGCCCCGTGGTTTTGACGAATGTAGCTTTATGCATAGGACACCTTAACATCAGATAGTGTGAGGACTCGTTACTTTTAAGAGTTTTGAAACATTTTTCTAAATTCCTTTGTATTGACTATCGATCTTTCTGGGGAGAACTTCCACCTTCACGGTGTCGGGTTTCCCCGTCTCCATGTATGTGCTCAGTTCACTGATGATTTTCATATGCAAATCTTGCACGTATTTTGTTAGTTACACATAATTATAATTTTTTGTACCATAACAAAAGTTACTGGTTTTTTACGTTTCTATTTCCAGTTAGTGTAAGTAGGTAGACATTTCCATATCTGCATGTAAATTGTTGGTTTTTGTTTATGGACCTTGTATCCTGTGACCCTATAACTTCACGGATTGTCCTCACAGCGTTCCAGTAGGTGTTTGGGGACTGTCCATATTCACTTAGCCTGCTTTTCCAAATCTCTGTTGGTTTCTTCTGAGCTGCTGCCACCTCCTTGAATTTGGGCTGTGGTTTCCTCATGTGTTTGTCTCTTTGGTGCTTATTCGTCCCTTTGACTCCGCAGAGTGTCCCACTGGCCCAGACATCATTCCCATTGTAGCGGGCGTCGTGGCCGGCATTGTCCTGATTGGCCTTGCGTTGCTGCTGATTTGGAAGCTTTTGATGATAATTCACGACAGGAGGGAATTTGCTAAATTCGAAAAAGAGAAAATGAATGCCAAATGGGACACGGTAAGTTGCCAAGCAGAAAATAGGTGATTCATAAAGTAAATGGAGCTGGTTTAGTAAAATATACAACTGATTCATTCAAGTCCGTTTTACATATGTTATTCCTCCCAAAATCCAGTGTCTTACCTTTACATTGAATAAAAAGCAGAAAGACCTTAAGTACATCTCCTTGAAACAGATCTTTGTAAGTCGTATGCACATTGTAGCACTGTATCTTCTGGTTACTGTAGCTATATTTGTACTTCCTCAGTCACTTGGGTTCTAAATCTGGGCTCCTGCCTTTTCATACAATACGAACTGGGACCCTAAAGGATACCTGTGTGGCAAGGGGCGCCCTGGGAAGGTGCTCTGTTGCTCACAGAGCACTGAAGTGAAAGCAGTTCAGAGGAAAATACTGCCCACTTCTTGATCTCCTCTGCGTGACCTCTGCGTGACATTCTTAAAAAGGCAGAACCATAGGGGCAGAAATCAGATGAGTGTTTGTCAGGGGCGGGAGTGGGGCCAAGGGCCCGATGGGGTGGGTTCTCTCTGAGCAGGCTTAACTGCGGGTGTTTGTACATTGAAAACAGATTCAACTTGATACTTAAACAGAGAGTATTTTACTCTATAAATTATTCCTTCAGAAAGCCGGCTTTACAAGACATTTGAAACGCACTAGAGTTGGAAATAGGGCGTCAGAAGGGGGTTTGGCTGAATACTGGTGCTCATGCGCATCCTTTGATCCGGACGGAGCGCCGCACCAGTGGCAGCTATCAGTATTTTCTACCGGAAGTGAATTAGTCATTTGCATTTCACAACCATGAGCCCCAGTATTTCTCTGTCTTTAACTACGAACTTTGGAAGTGTAGCAAGACTGAAAATTCTTTTATAGTCAATTTTCTTTCTGATGAAATCATTAGAAACTGTTTCTTTTACTTTAGCAAGAAAATCCGATTTACAAGAGTCCTATTAATAAATTCAAGAATCCAAACTATGGACGTAAAGCTGGTCTCTAAGCTGCCGTTCGTATTTTCTGTCACCTTCTGTCTTTGCATGTGAACTTTCATTCTCTTACTGCACTGTGTGCCCGTGGTCACTTTTGCTCCTTTTTAAACACCTGGCTTTATTTATATGGCAGTGTTGTGGCTTTTCTCTGCGTGTGTTATTTTAGCGCTGGTGTTCAGAGGGCATTTACAGTAAACAATCTGGCATAGAAGCAGCAGCTGGATTGTAGTGGAAAGAGAGTAGATGCTGAGGGCAGATAGACCATTTTGGAACCACATCCCAGCTTGTCCCCTTAGTAAACAAGGCCTGAGGTCAGGTCGCTTCCGTGAGGTTTAGTTAGTCACATCTACAGCGGGAGTCCGAAACTTCTAGGAGTGTTGTGTGGGGTTGTGGCTTTCGGCAGGTGAAGACTCAGAAATGAGTCATTTGTGACCCTCACTGTCCTCCTGTGCATTAGATGATATTATCCCTGTTGTTACATATATAAATCTGAGGGCCAAAAAGTGAGCACAGCATTCAAACAGTCCAGTAGGAAGGAAGGTCAGTACAATCCCATTGATACAATACACAACTATAATAACATCATTGTTTAGAGGTTTGGGATGCTGTAGTTCTTGATTATAACTTGGAAGTTCAGTTAAAAGCCAAAAGAGCTTTGATTCTTCTTGTCATTTCTTGTTATTAAATGGTTCCAATTTTCAAATTTAAGGGTTAAAAAAAAAAGACCTTCAGAAGGCATGTTTAAGTTTACACTTTTAAACATCTCGGTGCTGGTTCCAGTGTTGTAAGGTTTGCTTCTCCTGTTCTCTCGAGTGCTTTTCTGGTGAAGGCACTTAATACCTTGAACTGCTTCCCAACATTTTTTATATGAATCCCACAAGCACCAAAATTCCTTGATTAAAAAGATCAACCATGCTAAGATCCAAGTTCGCCTGGCTGTTTACCCAGAACTCTCCTCTTCTTCCCCATCTTACTGGCTGTAATTGAGTCCGTTCTGTTCAGCTTGTCTCCAGGCCCACCTTGCTGCAGTAGTCACCGGTGGTGATTGGAATGATAGTGGACACAAACAATACTCACTGTGCCTCGGGCACAGCTCGAAATGTCGCACCTGTATTTACCTATTCTTCACAGCGATAGGCTTAGGAACTATTTTTATTTCTGATTCACATAGAGATTAAACACAGGTAGATAACTTGACCAAATTCACATAGCTAATTTGTTGAAGGGGTGAGATTCAAACTCAGGCTCCAGGCTACAAGTTCTAAACTATTACACAGGTGGTTCTCAACCTGTGGTTCGCAACCCCTTGGGGGGTCGAACGACCCTTTCACAGGGGTCGCCCGATCACAATAAAATTACAGTTATGAAGTGGCAACAAAAATAATTTTATGGTTGGGGGGGGTCACCACAACATGAGGAACTGTACTAAAGGGTCGCAGCATTAGGAAGGTTGAGAACCACTGTACTCCACTATTCTGGGAACAATCACAGAGCTTTAGGATACTTCCTGTGGCCTTGTAAGGAATCAGGAGATAAACCTTTATAGAGAACTCTATTTTGGTACTTGATGAAACTTAGGTAGAGGAACATTTCTGTTATGGGTAAACATTATGGGGAAATGATTTTATTGCACAGAAACCAAAACTACAGGCGAACTTACTTTATTGAAAATATGAGGGAGCATCAAAACATTTGTGGAAAATGAGGTGAAAACATAATGCTATTTTTCCATGAACTTTTTGAAGCTGGGGTGCCACCTTGTTGTTTTAAAATGATAACTGAATAGGAGCTTACGATGAAGGGCTATTGGATGCTTTGAAAGGGCTATAGGAAGTACTTTGAACCCTTGGGGCACTTAAAACCGTTACTGGTCAGGTTTTTATTTGGGAGCACATTTTGAGGCTTTTTAGATGGGACAGTTAAGCCGGATGGCTGAAAACCAGCGTCAGATTTACCTGCGGGCAGATGAATTCATTTTTATAGTGAGGCTGGACACATTCTTCTCTTCCTCACCTGTGAGTCAATTTTAGGGGAAACCTGATGAGCTGAACCAGTTGCTGGGTTTGTGTTCTTCCTTTCCTGGTCTCAATAGTCATGTATTAGCAGTGTCGTAGGAATCTTTTCTATGATAACAGTTTTTATATTTATCCTGTCGAAAGGTCAAATTTCCACCCTTGGCCACACATACGTATGTTGAAGGAAGTCATGAATAAGTTATTAGTATCAAGAACTTAATGTTTACACTACAAACTTACTTTTTGGATAAAATATTTTGGTTCCATAAGCCAAAATAAGCATTTTCTGTAATTCAAGAAGCAAAGTAGGGTAGACCTTTCTTTATTCATTAGTAAAATACAAGTATAGCTATAGATTGTTCTAAAAGATGTTTTCCCAAGGAAAAAAAAATAATAAAGTTAATGAATAAGCATTAAGAAACTGAAATCACTGATATTTTTGGATAAAAGACCAAAGTTTACCAGTCAGTGAATCATGTCATCAACAGATTTGGAATAATGGGCAGGCACTGGAATAATTTCACTATGTAAGAGTACCATGTAGGTACACAGTAAAAAACACATGAAACCATCACTGTGTAGCTCTTAAAAGTAGGGTGAAGAAATGATGTAATCTATTCTCTGCTTTGGCATTCATGTGCCCCCACGATGATGCATTTTATATTTAATGCCCCAAAAGATGATTCCATAGCCACCACTGCCAGTCCAGTCCAGAGTGAACACAGGATGTAACTGTTCCCTTGGCTTAAATAGGCTTTGCGTTTTGCTGGGGTGGGTGAAGGGGTTTGCTCTGTGAACGATGGAAACTAATATAATTATTTTAGTTTTCTTAAAAATGATGCCTAATGCAGATAGTTCAGTTTTACCTCTAACCTTGCATGTTAAACTTCTGTTTGGATTGACTTTGAAATAATAAATATGAGTGATTGTATATATGAAAAGGGCATTGTTTTCTCCAAAGGTAAGTTCTTCCATATCATTTATACTTTGGACTCATCAGTAAAAGAGCGTTTTTATTTATTTTGTCCTTCCTTCGTGGTTCTTAAAATGTTCATATATTAGACTAATTTTTTTGTTGTTAGTTAAGAAATTTATACAGTTGTTTCTTTGCCCAGCAAGTTTGAATCGGATGTTCAAGCTTTATAGGTAGATAAACCAAGCCAACCAAACTTATTGCTGCCCGTTTGAGTTTTTATTCCAAACAATCCGATACGACGGACGGAGTAGAATTTGTCCGTTAGGGCTTCCAAGGCCGCAGACAGTCTTCCCTGAAGACATCTTTCTCCCAGCTACTGACTTTGAGGTCATACGTCGGCACTACCCCCACTGCCATGGAGCCGGTTCCAACTAATCCTGAGCCTACGCAGGGTTTCTGGCATCCTGAGCCTGTGCATCTTGGCAGGAGCAGACAGCCTCACCTTTCTCAGCGTGAAATGGTTGTTGAGTTTGAACAGCCAATCTTGTGGCTAGCACCCTAATGCTTAACTCACTGTGCCACCAGCTCTCCTTTCCTACTACACAGATAGGATCATAGAAATAAAGAATGTAATTTGTTTCTGCCATATAATTCCTTAAGACTGCAATTCCTCGGATCCAGTTTGCTTATTCTCACTCTTTGAAATGTCGGCCACGTGTCTGTAACACCGACTCCTCACATGCCAGCCATTCTGCTGTCCAACACTTAGCATTTGTAAGGAGTAAAGCATCAATCCGACTGCTTTGCTTTGCCAATAATGAACACGTAGGTGCACCTTGAGAGAAGTAATGGGTATGATGGTTAAGTTGTGTGTCATCTTGGCCGGGCTAGGATTCTCCTAGCAGCTATGTAATGATGTCATTTAAGAGTTATACAGCGCTCTGATTTGGCTATTGTGTAATGATGGAATCGTCACTTTCTTTTACAATCAGATATGATTATCTTGCATATCTACATAGTGCCCCCTTTCCCATAATGACCTGGTCGTTGGGACATAAGCAGGTTGATAAATGAGGAATTATGTATACTGTAAGGGGACTAGAATTCAGAACTTGACATATTCCACAGTTCTTATCATTTGGGTTATATAGAGTTTGTCTCTAGGGGGTCTTAAAGGTCTCCGTGCTTCTGAATTAAACCAGATTAGCTTTTTAAAATGTTATTTTAGGAGGAAATAAATACTGTCATGTTCTAATAGACATTCAAACTAGGTTACTGAAGTGAAATCAACAGTGACTTACTTATTTGGTGTACGTATCACTCAGGACCAACATTTTTATGTCATACTTTCCCACAATGGTTTCCTACCTACCGGATAAAATTCAGACTTTTTAGTGAGGCATCCAGGACCTTTTGCCAGGGTCTTTCTTTCTTGTCTGGGCTCTGTTTCCCAGACTCAAAACACATCGTCTTAAGCCCACACGTGCATACTTTTGACAAGCCAAACTGTGTGTATTACCTCACGAGTGTTCTTTATTCTAGACTTTGATGCTGCTTATGCCCCTGTTCACTGTCCAGTCGTCAGTGAATTGTCTCAAACTCAGTCTCTTTTTCCTTTTATGGTTTTCATAAGATATAAGCTTTTTTTGTTCCACAAATACCTTAATGTATTCTTGTCTGTCATCACCAAAGTATATCTACCTTGAGGGCAGAAATTGTGGCAACAAAAGCTTCAAATAAATAAGACATAGTGAAGGGCAACTGAAACGCAAAAACGAGTGACCATCTAGATAGAAGCTCTTTTTGCATCTCTTACAAATGGTTTTATAGTGAGATAAAAACCCAAACAGCATTTCAGAATCGTCTCTAAATCCTTGCTAGTTTATGAGAGAGAAAAAAGATCATTTAGTGTAGCACTTAGCATACGAGAACATTTTAAGGAAACGATAGGGTTGGATAATAGTTGTTTTTGCTGATTAAAACATCACTGTCAGTATGTTTGTGGATCTTGAAACTGCTATCAAGTATACCTGTAGTCATTTGCTGGGCTTCATTTGTGTACTCTTTACTGAAGTATAGTATTACGAGAACAACAAAACTACCACGAGCATAGTGTTAAGAATGGCAATTGTTTTACTAGAGAAGAGACCCTGAGAACACCTCCCTTGCAGAGATGGAAGCCAAGGATTCCCATGAATTGCCCACGCCTTCTGTGCACAACAGGGATACGAGTTAGGACGTCGGTGGCAGAAAAGCCCATGCTTCATTAAGTCTGGCAGTAGGCACTCCTTCATAGGAAGGAGCTTCCAGTCACACAGTCCCATTGAACTTGGGCAGCGCGGCTTCATTTCTTCTTTCAGTGTAAGCCTCCATCGGTGCCATTTATTAAGCAAGTGGTAGTTGCTCAGATAAAATGGAAACTGCTACTTAGTGTCACTGTCATGTACCCACGGCCACTGAGTCAGTCCCGTCCCCCGGCAGCCCTGTAGGACAAGAAAACTGCCCACCCCTCCGCCACCAGGGCTCTTGGACTTTTCCACTGCCATTTGCAAAATAGCATAACCTGCTTTGAGTAGAATAACTGGTTATTTCTCTCTCTCTGTCTCTCTCTTTAGGGTGAAAATCCTATTTATAAGAGTGCCGTGACAACCGTTGTCAATCCGAAGTATGAGGGAAAATGAGCCCGGCTCACACAGACTTCACAACACTGATGAAAGTAGCAATTTCTATAGTCACAGTAAGGTAGCATTAGGGTAATATCACCGTGAGTTTACTCATGTGCAGGTCTTGAAATGTACAATATGTATAATTGTTTTTACTTTTTTTTGTGAAAATAATGTTATGATCAATGCCCAGGGACTGACAGAAGACTAGACAGGATGGCTATCCTTGTCAGCGAAGGTCACCTTGTGCCTTTTTGACCTTTTCCTCCTGGACTATTGAAATCAAGCTCTCGTTGGCTGAAATGATATTGTTAACATGATTGAAAGGGCAAGAGATAAAGGAATTTTCTCATTGAGTGTTTTATTAATCAAGTGTTAAATCTGATTTTTAGCTTTACAGATATGTCAGGACTTAAGTTTTTCAGTTTTACAGAATGCCAAGTAACCATCCTGCTGGCTAGTTTAGAATTGCTTCTAGCTTATTATTATTGCTGTTTGCCTATCACACATGACTGATGACATATCTGAAAGTTGAGTATGCTGGGAGTTAAGATGAAAAATAGCTTTGGAATATTTGATTTACAACGGCCCTGGGAAGAATTCAGAGTTAGGAAGGGAAAAAAATAGCTTTAAAACCTGTGTGCCATTTTAAGAGTTACTTAATCTTGGTAACTTCTTTGCCTTCTCTTTATGAAGTCAAGCCTTGGGTAAAAGTACTGGGAAATATTTTGCAAAAAAACCATCCTTGACTTAGCATTATTTACAGACAGGCCTTAATTTTTGTCATAGAGGGCCCTAATTCTGAATGGGAACCTTTTTTGTTAAATTTATTAAACCTTTTTATTTTGTTTAAAGCGTGGTGCTTTTTAGCACCTCTTCTAATCCTTTCATGTATTTGTTTGCAATGTGGGGGTAAGACTTTTTTTTCTTTAATCAGTACCTTTTCTTTGACACTTTAGCTGTACATTTGCCTCCTTGATGAGCACATGGCATGTACTGTAGCGTAGGCAACAGCTGTCCCTGAAGCGAGCCTTACTTTCCATTAGTGCCATCAGAGACCATTGTACATGTCCCTCTCACTGTTTGTGTTGCCCATCTTATTTCATAGCAGCCACAACCTTGTTTTAAGTGCCTTTTAATTTTACAGTTCACTTTTTACAATGCTATTTACTGAAGTTATTTATTAAAAATGCTTAAAATACTGGAATTGTGTGTTTTGACTCTCTGCTGACCTATTTGTTAATTTGTGTGCAAGAGATTTTTGAAAGGTTTGGAGGGGGTTACTGTTCTGGTTAGTAGAGTATCTTAAGAAACTACAAATATTTCTTTAAAAAGGAGAGAGGTAGGTGCTTGGAATGTAAGTCAGTTGGTGTAGTATAAAAAGCAATCTTTACGACTAGACCTGGGCATGACCCTGAGACCAAGAACTATATAGCGCCCGGCTATCACCACCAACTGCTCTGGAAGGGGTGACATTAGGAGGTCCTGAATAAAACAGGAGAAACCGGTAGAAGATAAATCATGAAGGAGACTGGGGAACTCCGAGATTCTGGCCCTTGGTCAGCCTGCAGGTCTGGAAATGAACTCTTGCCCCAGGGCTCCGTTTTCAGCCACTGAACAGACGGATCTATATAATCAACACTAGGGAACCACTCACAGTTCAGCATAATCAACTATTCGGGATCGAAAGGGCAGAATGCACCCCAGGACAAAGTTCAGATGGTTAGAGAAGGAGGAGGGATGGAAACGGAACACACAGGAAGCAGAATACGTGATAGGGTTTTGCAGGACTGCAATGCTGAGTGAAACAAACTATGAATTGTGGACAGCAAAACTGATGATCTGACCTTGGAAACCTTTGCCCAGGTCACGATAAAACGTGAGAAAGAAGAAAGACTTAGCGTTGGAACTTCACCATGCCACTGGGCTGAATTGTGACCTCCAGACGTGTGTTGTGAGTCCTAACCTCTGACATCGGGTTATAGTCTCCTTTGAGCATTGGTTTTCTCCGTTGGTTTAATGGGGCAGTGTTCTTTCAGAGATGAGTGAGTGGACCTCTACGCCAAGATGGGGGAGAATGGATGCCAGCTTTCTGGAAGATCACCAAAGAGCCAAGAACCCGAAGCTGAAGAGACAAGCCTTCCCCTAGAACCAGTGGCCCGCGTCTGGACCTGCAGCCACCTACACTCAGAAAATAGATTTGTTTGTTATTGGTTATTGGTTATTGGTATTCCTGTCCTTTCTCAATAATTATGCTTTTCACTTATTTTACCTACATGCACGTTGTAGCTTTTACTTGCGTGTACATTACTAGTTTGTAAACTCTATGAGAAAGGTGGGTTGTCTAACTCATTGCCATTCCCTTTTACCCTGCTCCTTCCCATTTCTCTCCATCCACAGAGAGTCCCGCTTAGCTCATTCGTTGCCCTGTGCATTAGACTGAGTAGGCGCCATTGAGTAACATGTTTCTGCTCCAGACCCTGCTGATGCAGTGAGGTTTTATAAATATTTTAAGACGGACATATGTTATATATACATGTAAATTTTTACCACCACCACCCCCAGCACAGTTCTTGAGGCTACAATACAGTGCATTTTTAGATTCTACATTGTGTATTTTTATGTTCTTGGTGCTCCGCTGCCAAGGAAGTGGGGCCATATCCTGTGTCCCCTGACCTGAACCCTAACATAGGATAAGACCTGGAAGTGCCGAAAGTTCATTTCTCCCCATGCCATCTCTGTCCCTGTACATCATTTGACAGCGTAGCCCTCCCCACAGACCCTGGGAAAAGCCTGGGTGCACCCAAGACGAAAGCTTTGAGAAGCCAGCACTGGGTGGAGACCCAGCTCACTCTCTTAACCAGGGTGCGACCTTGTACAAGTCATTGTGCCTCAGGACCTCCCGAGTCTCTACCTGTACCAAGGGAATCATTCTGAATCCACTGCCCAGGGATGTCACCGTCACGTGTCTGAAACACACAGACATTCACATACGTACCACTACACGTTTCCTGAGGTGTGGCGGTACACTTCTCTCATGAACTAGAGGAACGTAGTCAAAGTCATGATCCTCATTGCGCTACTGGTCGCAGCTTCGTCTGCTTCGCCTCCCTTCAGTGCCTTTGCTCCCTTCGTCTTCGCTGTCCCCCACGCCTCTGCTGGCCGTGCCCGTCCTGGTCAGGACCTGGTTCTCTTCATCCCCTTTCACACAGACATGTGCCAAGAAACGTCCATTTGGGCAACATCCAACCTCATCTACGTCAGCGGCCCCATACGGTTATGAGATCGAGTTCAGAAACCCTGCTCAAAGACGAAAAGATAGTAACTGCACAGCACGGGCATCCATGTCTCTGAGATACGAAGCAGTTGAATACCAGGCATTTGATAATGCAGTACTTGTACTTTATAATATATGTGTCTTGATGGTACACACAAAAGCCTGTGTTGCCGGTATGTGTATGTACTATATACTTCCTTTTTAAAACAGTAATTACTCTTATCACGGTGTTTGCTTCAACTGGTAAGCAAAAGGATCCAGTTTCATGTGCTGCATGTCTCTTGAGTGATATCGCCTTATCTCTCTGTTTACTCTTCTTTCAGAAGTGTTTCCTGTAAATGCATCCTGGCTCTCAAATGCAGCCGAATCAGAGCTAGCGGCAGCAGCAGGAGGAGGCGGAGGAAAAGTATCCATTCAGACGTGAAACAATACAGAAATGGAAACTCCAAAAAAAAAAAAAGAGATAGCACCTATTAGACTTATGCCCTGGTGTCACCCGTAGCTGGGCACAGACTCGGGCATGCAAGAATTTCAAGAAAGGGAGGGCAGCAGCCAAGTCAGCACAGGGCTGGGCTTGTGTGGTGTGTTCTTGGTGAAGTCATTTCTTCTCTGGGCCTCTTTTTCTCAGTCTGTACTTTGAGGAGGTTAGAATGAAATGAAAATCAGATATTATAGTTCCATGGCATAAAACTGTTCAATAATTTCCATTTTATTTTGAATCATAACCAATGCTTCATCTTGGATATAGGGCAGCCTGCACGTGGCTTCCCGTGATCCTGCCTTTTGGTCGACACATCTGGTACAATCCTTTCCCCTGGATGTGTAAACAGTATCAACTTGTTTCTTTCTCCCTCACTTCTCTCTTTCTCTCTCTCTTTCTCTGTCTGTCTCTGCTCGCACTCTCTCTCTCTTGCTCTTTAAGTCTCTAGATTTTCATTATCTTGAACACCAGTCACCAGCTTATCTTCTCAGAAATAGGCTCATTCCAAAGTTGTTAAATATATTAAGGGAAAATTTTCTCGAATGACTAAGAGCCTTTATCATCAAATGCAATGAATTCCAAAGCAGACTTCACAGCAGTAGTTTGCATTAAAGACATAAATCACCATTTTACACTTTAAACTATTAAAGGTACATCTGCTTCTGGCAGGAATAATAGAGATATGGAGTATTTTTCTGATTGCAATCATCTATCAACATGAACGAAATAAAGGAAACCATTTGTTTTTACATATTACAATAGTAGTTAAGGACAACAAAGTGTGAAGGGTCGAGACTCCAGAGAAGGGCAACAATAAAGTGAACCCTACCATTCCCCAGACGTGTCAGTCTGAGTAGACTAGAGAAACAAATTCACACACACTCATATGTATAAGAAAGAGCTTTATATACTAGAGCAATCGAGTATTGAGAAAACATCCTAGCCCAATATAGATCAAGTCCGTAAGTCTGATATTAGCCCATATGTCTGATACCAATCTATAAATTCTTCAGACTCACACAACACATGCAATGACACTTAAGTGCAGGAAGCTCACAGGCCAGTGGATGGAAAGTCTTGTGGATCCAGTGGCAGCAGATGCATCTCAGTGCTGGCAGTGGTCTCGGCGTGGCTCTCTCAGCTCCAGGGCTCTGGTGTAGCTCGTGTGTCTTCTCAACAGGAATGACTCCCAGAGAGTGAGTTGAGTGTCCCACCTCCAGTGAGCTATTTATCTCCTTCGGGGCTCCTAATGAGGTCATCAAGCTGCGACCTGATTGAGAGATTAAACTCCACCCCTTCACTTTTAAGTCTGAAATTGACAACAGATTATCTAACTACCACACCAGGCTTTCTGCCAAAATATAATATCCAGACAAAAGGGAATCCAAACAGATGTCAGCAACTAAGTTGTGGAGATGGACGTTGACATTCAGGGAGAGGAGGTGATTGAGATTTGGGGGACAGGTGTCTAAGGAGAGGGACATACACAGAGGAAAAGCTTCAGAAATTGACAAAGGATTCCCTCGAATCTTTGGTTGCATACCCATTAATGCGAATGTCCACAGAGTGAAACTCCATGAGGCTGGACAAAAGTAACTTCTGAGGAAAGAGAAAAATCACTGCTCTTGGATCAGTTTTTCAGAGATAACGGCTAAAAAGCATTGCCATTATCTCCAGCTCGAGTGGGAAACACTTGTTAAGTGATGCCACTCATGGAGACCCTGCAGGACAGGGGAGAGCTGCCCCTGTGGATATCCAAGACTGGTAACTTCTATGAGTAGAAAGCCCCAACTTGTAACCTCTGTGCTGCCAGGGCACCTCTTGGTGAATAGTAGAAAACAGCGATCCTAGGCAGTGAGTTTATGTAACGGGACAAGCAACTCAAAAAGGAAGGTTAAGAATATTTGCAAAACTTGCCTAGTTGTACATGTGGAAATCGCACCAGTAGAAACTCAGCAACAAAAACTTTTTTAAAGGATTCAAATTAGCCCTGAATAAGAACTATTCTAAAGGTTAATCCGGAGCTTTGAAAAGGCTTAAAACGATAAAATAAGCCTGCAAGTAATCAATTTCCTTTCAGAAGGCATTTACTACATTTTAAAGGGAAAAACACAGAACAAGCACAGAAACGTGGCCCATTAAGTGGCACATGTGGGACTTCCCTCTTGCTCTGCGTGCAGAATCGACATCAAGAGATTTTGTTACCTGGGCTGCTAGTGATCGTTCGTCCTGGCGCCCTAAAAAAAGAAGAAACGTGGCCCATAGAGAAAAAGCAGCGGCAACATAGTTGGTGGAAGTAGCAGGCAGACGTTCAAAGAGTTGGTAGAAATGTGATCCAGAGACTCAAGAATGCAAACAAAGTCACAGACTTGGGAAAAAAGCTCCTGGATCTTCTTGAGAATAAAATAGGATGTGGAATTAAATGTCACGGAGCGAGTTTAAGCAGTTT